GCATTTACAGAAAAGAACCGACGATATTTAACAGTACGTGCCAGAGGAAGAAATAAAAAGACCTCACGGTGACTGTTACGTCGTGGGTGGATATGATGTCTTAAAGAGGTGAGTGGGTTAAATGTGTGATTATATAAGAGTTTAAATAGCAAAATAGTCCCTTTTGTAATCTACGGAACCATAAAGGATCGAGGCCTGTAAGCCGGCAACGTTCTTGGTAAGACAAATGTCGGTGTTCTGGGGTTAAAATTCTCTTGGTAAAAAAAGTGTTGAACGGATTCTATTTTCTTCCGCTCAGTAGCACGCATGAGGCTAAATGAAAACGAACAGTATTCCAGGCCAGGTCTAACGTACATGTTGAAAAGGCGCATTCTAATGTCCCTAGTTTTAAAATTTCGGAAGATAAACCCGGTCGTTCTACGTGCTTTGGAGACTATCAAGGCACAGTGCTCCGAGAGAATGAGACTCTTGGAGTATGAAACGCCCAAATCCTTTATAACCCCTGGCACATTTATGGCGTGACCTTCAATACTTAGTTGAGGTTGGCGGTCGTCGCCAACCACCATGACTGAGCACTTATGCCAAGAAAGAGAAAGGCGCCATGTGCGGCACCACTGGGCGAAAGCCTGTAGATCGCTCTTTAGGAGCTCAAGCACGATGTCATGATCTGCCGGCTTATATCGATATGCAACTTTAAGATCATCGGCATACATGAAAGGCCTACCATTCTGAAATAAATCGGGTACATCATTTACGAAAAGGCAAAATAGAAGCGGGCTGAGTACACTACACAAGCCCGTGAAATATTCGGGGTGGGCAGCCCCTATATTTCCTGTTCTTACATCCGATGGTTCTGTGCGCATCTGCGACGACTACAAGTCGACGATAAACCCAGCAACTAAACTTAATCTTTACCTTCTCCCAAGCATTGGCCATTTGTATGCATCTTCCTCAGATGATCACAGATTTACAACTTCTTACCTGAAGGATGCTTACAATCAAGTCGTCCTAGATACCTAATGCAGAAATGTCACCACCATCAATACACATTAGGGCTTCTTTCGTTATAAAAGATTACCGCCCGAAGTAATTTTTGCTCCCGGTCTATTTAAGTGCTTGATTAATAGCCTCATTATGGGCATACCTAACGTTTGCGCATACTTTGGCGATATATTAGTAGCCGGCCCATCTGGGCATTGTCATCTAAAGACTTTAAACATCGTGTCAGTACGTTTAGAAGACCCAGGTCTCAAAATCGGAAAATATAAGCGTACTTCCCTCGCAGACTCGGCCGAATAACTGGTCTCTATACTGGATAAAACCGGCCTCTATCCACTCAAACATAAATTCAATACCCAGAAGATGGTGCCACGCCCCAACAGTATTATTTGATTGCGTTCATTTCTTGAGTTGTTTACCCAATTTATTTGCTTTATGGATCAGCCGGCTACGATCCTAAAGCCTCTTTGCTGACTACTTAAAAAGAGTCGCTGACGGAACTGGGCGGAGGTCGAAAAATTGTTTTTGAACGGGCGAAGGCGGTTCTTACTTTCATATCTCCCCTGATTCATTACAACCTCGAGAAGCTTATCATACTGATATGTGGTGTGTCTCCGTATGTAGCGGGCGCCGTTCTCAAGCATCACATGTCCTCTGGGGCCGACACTTCCACCCCTATCATTTTGGCCGACCCTTAGATATTCACACTGAACACTAACCTCGCTCAGGCCTTATGGGTGAAAACTATGGATAAGACACCTTGCCGAGCATGCAACGATGGGCACTCACTCTTTCCGCTTACACATATACAATGAAATACGTTAGCCTAATGTAAACGTAGCGCCTGACGCCTTGGGTGGATTTCCCATTGTAGACGATGGTGATAACAGGGCTTCTACTTTTGAGACCATGAATCTTTTAGGGTGCTTAGTCGACTCGCTCGTAAGTTTTCGGCTAATTAAACAGTGGACATCAAGATACCACCCTCAGAGTCGGGTAAAAGGATCCTTGGAACCTGACTGACCGTCCTCTGCCTCCCCGATTTTCAGCCATTTTATGATCAGCAGAAGGAATTGAGTCTACAAAATGGATGTGTAATATGGGGCAGTCGTGTAGTTGTGCCACGTCAAGGTCGACGAACCATCTACAGAGATCGGCATAATGCTCATCTTGGTATAGTTAAAATTAAGGCTCTTGTCCACAGTTATACTTGATGGCGTAAAGTTGACACAGATATCGAAAATGGGGTAGAAGCATGTCACGTGTGCCAAGTAACACAAAAAACCTTGCCAAAGGTGCCTCTGAAGACTTGGGCCCGTTTCGACTCCCCGTCGAAGAGGGTACACATAGACTATTTAGGGCCACTCCAAGGTTATATGGTCCTGGTGTGGCTGACACCCACACTAAGTGGATTTGTGCGATTCCGGCCGAATGCTTTTGTTCTTTTATTACTGCCGTCAGCAAGCTACGATCTGCTTTCTTCTGCTTGTGGGATACCTGAAACAGTCGTTTCGGACAATGGTCCGACCTCCACTAATGCGGAATTTAAGGAATATATGAAGGACAATAGAATTAGACATTTAACAACTGTCCCGTACCACGCAGCTTCAAATGGTCTTGCAGACCGCGTACTTCAGCCAAAAGGCACGAACTAGCCAAGCAAGCACAAGCTGGCTTGACCACCATGTTGTCACGCTTTTTGTTCAGCTATCGCATAACGCAACACGATTCAACCGGTTCTTCGCTTACAGAATTGGGGTTCAGGCGGCGGTTGGGTACACGGCTTGATCTACTTAATCCTGCAACTCGTGATAGAATCATCGAAAAAAACAGACGAAGATGAAAGCCCGATATGACGCGAACATCCGACCTCGAATCCTTGCGCCCAAGGAAAATGTCTACACGCGACTCGAACACAAAACCAACTGGCGTCCGGCGGCAATTCGAAGAAGAGACGGACAAATAATTGAATTAGCGTTCGAAGACAGGAGAAGTGTGCGTCGACATCTGGACCATTCTAGCAGCCGAAGCGACATATAATAGAGAGAATTTGGAAAGATCTAAGTGGCAGAAACCCTTGATATTGATTCTGGCATCCGGAGGATTGAATATCTGCTGCCTACACAGAGCCCATCGCCTTCAACCGAAGTGTATATTTCCCCCCTCTCCCCTTACTACCACAGTAGGCCCTCACTCAGAAGCAGGGGGACCACTAACTCTGTAGAGCTAAGCAGGTGTCAGAAAAATTACCCGGAGAAGACCGAATCAAATCCGCAAACCTATCCAATGTTTTCAAAGCGAAATAAAATAGGATAATTGTTAAATATACATTATTACCCTTACCGTTTTTTCTCCCCCTACCGAGGCTGTCCAATTCAGGGTGAAAGGCTGTAGTGCATGTTGTCCGTACTGCCCAGACAACGCACCAAAGGCGCGCAACCAAAGGCCTTGTACCCCTTTCAGAGCACCTTCGTGCTGATTGGCCAGCCTTCATCTTACGACAAACCGCCATGCCATGTACCCAGTCGTGCCTACAAGACTCCCTACTTGTGCCCTCTTGAAATCAGCGGTGGTTTTGGGAGAGAATATCCCGTGAATAAATGAACAATCTCTAATTCGTGGCTGTGTAGGTAGAAGAAGCTGATTCACGAATTACGTTGCTTATTTTAGCCTAAATTTGCTCGATTTCAACGAACCAAGCATTTCTTTCTAACTCCGGTCGGTTGTTCGCGCACTGAAAAATGGGGAATTCACGAAACAATACCTCGTAGTCGCTTTGAACTAGGAGAGGTAGGTACTGCACCTAATTAATGGTGTCCGGCGATTTAGTGAGCACCAAGTCTACAGGGCTTTACCGTTGCTTCTCATGCGCCTTCGCTGAAAAGAGGGTGTGAGGGTCATGTCTAATGAAGGTCGGTCAAGTCATAATTCCGGGCCAACTGCGCAAACTGGACTCAAGGCAAACGGGGATGTATTAAAGTCGCCCATGCACATAAAGCTAGGCAGAGTATCAATTATTTCTAGTTCATCTGTCAGAGGAGCATCGTCCTCGGAGTAAATTTTTCGTGCTTGATAGGCTGTTGGGAATTAAGGACTATTAGATCGCGGCGCCTTTACAGTGAACCAGATAATCTTTCTGCACTTTTCTGATACAAGCAGCCCGTGCTTTGCGTATATGAGTACTCCTTCATGACGCCCTACCGTGTCTTTTCCAGACAACTGAAATCCAGGTAATACCAATTCGCGTTTATTCTCGCTTTTCGACAGCAGATTTCTGTCAAGAAGATGACGTCGGGGAGAAGTCGCAGATGTGACATTCAGTTAGGAATTTGTTTACATTCGGGATTTTTCGCTGATTTATTGAATTACGGTTTGTTACCTTTACTATCCTCTTTTTTGGCCCAAAATGAGAAACCTTTACGAGCAGTGATTTAGAAAGTTAAAAATACTCCGTTTTTAGTGGAATTTTGTGCCTTACACACGATCTCCTCTACTTTTACTGACTGGAAAGACAAGTAGTGTATGAGATTTTGGTTGCATTAAGGGTCTCACACAAAAAACGTACACGAACTGGACATGAGAGACTTGGTTACGGAATATACTGCCGGAATCCAGTCGAGCGTGGGTTTTCACATGATTGCGATCCTTAGAGAAAAATGCCTCAAAGCATATTCTGCATATTCATAAGTCTGATACGTAAAAGTGATAACATCCCACTTACGGCTGTCTAGTCATTCAAGTTTCTTACCATACGTTTCAGGAATTATATCACATACTGGGTAATTACGACATTGCGGTCAACTTTTACTGCACTGAAATTGAGACGAACAAAAAGGACAGGCGGTCGTCTGGGTCCTGTTGCTGTCGTAAGATATTCCCAAGCTTGGGAAGCAAATGCCGTTATAATTTGCCCCGTAATCACAAAGATATTTTAACCTCCGGTTCACCCTGACACACTCGCTGAGACCTCGAGAGACACTTCACCCTTTATTTGCGTTATCATGTATGGTACGTTGGCCACTAAACAACCAAAATCGGTCAGCTACTCGTCTACTCAGCTCCCCTTCTTCGTGCCATTTGAGTTCGGCAGCAAGCACACCAAGAAGGTTCGGGTTGCCATTCTTGTTGCAGGAGTCTGCAGCCTGGTATTCACATTTCTTTCACTTGATATCTGAAGATTTTCTCTATTACAATGATTTCTGTTGGCGTTAGGGATTTTTTGAGTCCGGCTGATACGAGAAAGGTGCTGGGCATTTGTCAATTCACGCGCCTCAGCTGGAGTCTAATAATACTAGGCGCAGTACTTACTGGCATGTCTTGCTTCCAAATTGTCTCTTCTGCGAAGCCACCGTTTAAATCCGAAAAACGGATACGGAGTGATCTATGTGTACGCAAACATTTGTCTTGCCCCTCATTTCTAGCTCTTCGTTTGTTCTCTCATTTGCAGTGTCCTATTCCTCGCTAGTGGTGTCACATCTTTCACACTGATCTCAAGCGTACGTGTTCTCAACGACTCTTATACTTGTGTTTTTGATCGGAGACCGCTCTATGCATTGCAGAAATATTTACGTGCAATCATCCTATAAATTTTAGGAATTTATACATGGAGAAACAATACGAGTCAACCATACGAACAGTGTCTGTTTGTTTAGGCCTGTCCGATTATATAGGAGTCCAACCACATAGATAGTGAAAAGACAACAATAAGCGTGCGCCCTTCGTGGTTTCCAATTTCGCATCGGCCGCATTCGTCCCTAGCTAGAAACGGGGCAGCGCTATCTCGGGACAAAGGTGGAGCGCGTGATATAAAGGCGGGAGACCTTGTGTCGGTTTTTGGATTTGCAAACAGAGGTCCAGACCCAGACAGTTATCGTATTGTCATGTTTCCGACCTACACCATTGCTCGTATGCTGCTAAAGTCTAATTCATGATCTGCCTTCAGGATGCTGACAGTAAATCGATATAACAGGTCACCCCATCGCACTGCCAGTTGGTGGCCGTTCATTTGGGTCACTGCTGCATGCTCACCTTCAAATTCTCCTGTTGGCTGGAAACTCCTACAGTCCGCAAGATAGCATATAATTAAATCTTGAAAAATAGCAAACTCTGTGCTTGCGAAAGCCCCAGTAGGCTTATAACTTTGTGATTCAAACCACAAAAGGCCGAAATTAGACAGTCGGTCCAAATGTTCTGCCACCTGGGACACTTTTTCCCCTGATTGTCGCCAGACACAAGGAGTTTAGTATGCCAATGTAACTTTTAGATGTCGTTCACTGCCTGCGCCCTCCAGTTCCAGTCACAGAAAGTAGAATGCATGCAGGTACAAGGTCTTCAAATTCATCAGTACTTAAAACTGTGTCGTTCATCAACTGGTGGACTATATTAGTAATCACGAAGTGGGTTCCTATCTATTTAGTGAATAGGCGGGTGGTGCAGACTTTGAGGACTTGTTTTTTAAACCATTTTCGAGTGGGGATGGTCGTGCGTTTTGTTCATTGTAACAATGACCGTTATCGGGGCTATGCTTATATTTCGTGTTCAAGTAGACCATGTCTGAATCGTCCATCGTTAGGTACCCTTTTAGACTCTGATCTGTGGTAGCCTGTCGGCAGCGGGTAAGAGCGCATCTCATTTCTCACGTCGAACTTTATCTTCCATTTGAAGGTTGGCCCTTCCATTGAAAGAGCCATCGACGAGCAAGTCATCACTGCTTATGGCTTTGATGGTGAGGTGACGAACGTCATCGACAATCTGCAATTAGAAGTAAGCCACTGATGATTTGAATGTTCACTTATTTCCTAACTATATTTTATTCGACTAGGTTTCTCCACTGAATGATCGAGTCTGTTGACTGCACACCGTTTTTAATTTAAAACCCCCCAGTAAACGGCATCTCTATTACACACACAAGAGGGACTTTGTTTCATATGACCCGTTTTCCTTCTTTTTTGTTCACCATTTCTTCGCTTTGTTTCTTTGTTGTCATTCTACTCCTGACCCTTAGCCTCCTCTTAAGGTCTTTGTCACTGTTTAATCGTTGCAGCCGTTTCCAATGCTCTTTTTTGTTTTTCTTCCCCACCATCCTTTTAGCGTTCCTTTCTTTTTTCCGATATACGGTGTTAGCAGATCCTTAGTCTCAGACTCCAGCGTAGCTGCTGTAGATTAGTTGGTGGGGTATGAAGACGAGATTGAGTGGAAGAATTATTTGCCAAACAGTTGAAAGTAGACCCTTCGGAGTGATCTCCCATGAGTATGCTCATCCTTGATCTCCAACTTAGGTCGGCCTAGACTTTTTATCTAACATGGTAGCGATTCCAACAGGATGGAATATGTCCTCGCAGGATGTAGCTGTCTCCAGCTGCTAGTGGAAAGTACCCACCGCACATATGAGGCAACTTATTTAGTTTTCAAGGTCTTAGAAACTGACCTTAACATGCTCATTTTTTTATCGTCGAGCCGTGAATTAGCCATGCTAACAAACTGGCCTTCCTTCGGATTCGTGTTTGTTCCTCTAGTTGAGAAGACAGGACGACGGAGACGTAGAGCACAGTGGGACTGAACCATTGGGGTATAATCGAGTTTGGTGGCCTTTACTGCTCCTTCCTGTGTCGTTGATTTGGCCCAAAATTTGCAGGACGTTCGGCTGGACGACTAAACCAATGCTGCGCTTGATGGCAACCGACGCTAATTTGCGGTGTGTGCGAATCTCCTTAGGTAGGCAATGCGCGTAGGCTGACTTCCTTTCCACCACAGATTTGTAAGCATAACAGGGTAGGATAAGTGGGTGTCGTCAAATTGTCAGCTAGAAGTTCTCGTCGATGTGACTTTAAGTCCGGACCATTTGGCAGCGTCACAAAGTCTCCTTGCAAATTGACTTTTCAACTTCTGCCATACCTACTGTGTTGCACCCACCGCTTTCATAGATGGCGGCACGAGTGCAAACACGAGTCGCAGCAAAGTGGCATTGAAATATTCGCCGGCGATTACCGTGGACTCCTGCCAACCAGACCATCGGTTAACTGGGACAGTTATTTATTCGAATCAAATAGTGATGGACAGAATCAAGTGGTATGTGTTACCACATGTTAATTCCGCGTAGTTAGGACCACCACTCCGCATACATGATTGAACCGGTGATTATTTCAGGTCAGAATTCAAGTATAAGAGGCTGACAAACCAGCGTACATTTGGGGCAGAGCATCCGCTTGCAGGCAGTTCGGTCAAGTCAACTGCAGCAGACATGACAACTCACGTGCTGAGGCGAGCAGCCCAGTGAAGTGCCGCCGATGGTGGCGACGTGTACACTAAGCGGTTAACTAAACGGCTGGGGTCAGTTAAAGTGGTAAGGGGAGGGGATCACTCGGCGGTGGGCACTTGTGAGGGGGGAGGGGACGAGAGGGGAAGAAGAGCAGTCCTGGCTCCTTTCGATAACTTGCAGTTCGCCGGTTTGCCTAAGTGAACATCCGTCTTTCTTGGCACCTGTGCGCACCCACCTACTCACACGTGACCAGTGTACTAAGAAAAACTGTAAGACTATCAGGCCAGTTTACCCTACTGGTCGAGGTAGGATATCAACCGCCGGACACTGGTCATCGCCAACTGGCAGATAGAACGGGTGTGTCAAAATATAGAATAATGTAGGCGATACTATAGTAGGATAAACCGTAAGAGGAGCTGGCATTACACGAAAGACCCCAGGGGACATCCCAAAAACAGAAGCAAGAAGTGCAATACTCAGAAGTTGAGGAAGCCTTCAACTGGCGGTCCTGAGTTGTAACTCCAGTTACACCGGTTAGACCAGGTGCGGCTAATATCGTGCCAATTACAGGTACTTGAGTTGTTTGATTTTAAAAGCGGACACGCGTGAACATATGAGCAAATCGATCTGAAAAATATGTTGGCTTCCAGGATCCCCACATTACTTCTTACAGCCTTTGGGCTGCCTTTAGATGCCAACAGTATACTTAAAGTGCCTCATATCTCACGTGTAAGTTAACCGCCATGTGGTTCCTTTTGTTGCTCGAACTGTCAGTCGGGTGCCATTGAGATCCTTTGGACTAACAGTCAGGTGTGCCTATAGGACGGTCTTCTTTGGGATGATTCGTTTCGTTCTTTTGCATTATCGATGGCTGCGTCATTTCACACATGCAGCCATTCTGAATCACTTATGGAAAGTTTCTCCCGTGAGACCGTTGCTCCGGATCACACTGCATGTAAGGAACTGCGTATGGAGGTGCAACTGTCTAGCGAATTTTTCCACTAAAACAAGTTTTCACCCACTGCATAAATTAGCCAGCCTCTGTGCTACTCAAAATAAGCACTTAATGCTGTATTTTCTCCATTTGATTTGTGCTTAGCATGCATGCTGCGGAGGTTCCAACTACGAGGTCTACGAAGAGTCACGCTGGGCCTCACACCCAAGCGATATCGTTCCCAAGTTGGGTCTTGTTCCTGATTCCTGTTGTGTCCGGAACGCGTCCACGTTAGAAATCATTGATCTGAAGGCCTGCCACGGCGACACTTTGACGCTCCCCAACTCAGTAAATTCGAATGTACGTGTTTACACAGAGGTTTGGACCGTAACTACCCATTAGTGCAGCTATTATTACAAATCCTTCCGATGATAGCTCCAAGATTCTCTACGTAGTCATGCTGTCAGTTTTAACCCATCGAAGAGTTTGGTGAATGCCACAAAGAGTGATACAGACATCTATAGTGACGCATGATAGAGTTGATTGGCTTGTTTAAATTTGACCCGACAACCGACCCGAACGTACATGTTCATAGACACCTATTTGCGTCGGCTGACTCCTCAAACTAACACGAATGATCTCATCCTAATCACGTTGTTTGAAATCTACTGTAAATAAACATGGCTATTTGTAGCTGTGCAATATTTCGCCTTAAACAGGCGTACTCCAGCGATACTGACCTTTTCAACTGAGCCCCTGGATTGAAATGCATTTCGCATAGCAGGTGGCTCCAAACAGCCTTTCCTTGAAAATAAAGTCGCACCTGCCTTTTCAAAATCTTTATAAGTCAACTGCTCCTAGAGGTCCTTGGTCCTATTTTTGCTCTCCCTGTTAAGGAAAATTTACGTCACCTACTGTCCTCATTTAGTTTCGTCTGAGCTGCTGGTGTTGTTCGCGGACATCCACAGTCCCAAATTTCTCCAAGACCTAGAACAAGGCATACCCCGCCTTTCAGAGTCATTAATTTCCAGCTGTATTCTGCGCAACATGTTGCATTGCACTTGTTTCCTGACGAAGACCAGGCAAGCCCTGCTTGGTCGGCGTCCTCACGAAAGTTACCAAAATCGCAAAAATTAAGGATGCGCTAGTTATTCAGTTCACCTTCAAAAGTGGTGGTGGATAAGTCTGATAGTAGAAGGAGCCACTGTTATTAGGTTATTCTCTTAGGAAGAGTTTGCATTTCATCGATATTTAGATCATTAGCAGTAGTACGTTTAGGGATAACTGGGCTTTCAGTGCGCCTTGTGTTCCGATGCCCCAACTGTTATCATTGAATTTGTCTGTCCTCTCTTCTAGGGTTGTGCCCCCTTTCTGGCGGTGGATGATAGATACAACCTCCTCGTATTTGCGTCCTGCTCAATTGCTCTCTGCGTCTGGATGGTGAGTTGACATGGCACTAAACTTTCATAGGCCCACTCGAGTAGTTGGGCAAACAAAGTTTCACACTCACTTGCACTGTCTACCATTCACTCACATGAAATAGGCTTCGTAATTGCTGGTTCAGTCACATTGCAGATTTGCGGCATAAGGAACAATCGCCCTTCCTTTGTGGTCTTTCGGCAGCAGAAGTTGAGTCATTTGGATGACCTCTCCCCCAGATCGTCACAGCTCATGACCAAGCTCCCTTGTCTTTGTCGGTAATGCCATTCGACCTAATTATTGCAGGCGACAAGTAGGGAGACCGCAACTGGCCAGTAGTCCTCTTGACTGAAGATACAGCCGTTTGCTGAAGACACGATTAGACAGGCGAATTCGGAGAGTTCGGTGGAAGCACCACCGACAGAATACTTTCAGTGGTATAACATTGTGGCCTACGTGGGCCCTGTATCGAATTCGTCTGAAGTTGCATCGGAGGAGGCCGCAGATATTCTAAGCGTAGTCCAACGCCGATTCCAGTCTTCCACGAAGCCGTTCTGCGGCTTCATGCGACTGGTTGTTTAAATGGTCACTTTCTTCCTTTGTGCCTTGGAAAATCATTTCGACCCAAGGTGACAGAAACTGTCCGCTAGACCAGGAGTTTCAATATCGACTGCGACTAGGCAGCTGCTTCCAACCACGAAGTCCGCAATGATCGCCTTCGTCTTGGGGAGTCGATTGTTGGACCTATTTCGCTTTCCCTCTGCCGTTGAGCTTATTTGGGATATACCTCACCGAGTTTCTGTAAGGGAACACGTCATCAGAGTAGTATTACCTTTCTTGATGTCTTCCTAATATGCATGGAAGCAAAAAGCGACACTCGTTTAGCGTCAACCTGAGTATCTTGTCTCGTTTCTCAAAGTTCCAGATATGTCTGATGGGCAAAAGGACGTCACCGGCATTATTGCTGGAACCGCGATCCGCCGTGGACTGCCAGTCAACCAGGGAGCCGATAGCTAGTAGCCGTGAAGGGATTGGAAAGTGGATAATTCGGTTTTAATATCCATGCTTGTTGCAACAGTACCAGTATTTCGGACGACTAGGTTGGCCTTTCCTCAACTCCTTTAGAAGGATGGACTCAAGTGCCGACCATACACTTGAGTCAACAGGATTTTTTTTATTCAGACAGTCTTAAAGCAGTCTCTGGCTCTAGCGTTTGGATAAATTTGATTGGTGTGTTTTTCCTCTGTCTTGGCCAGTTCCTCGCCCCTGTTTTTTCCTCTTCTCCTTTTGCTACCTCTCCCCCTCTTCCCATTTTTCTCCTTTCCCCCGAACTCCGCATTGCTTCCCCTCCATTCTTCTTTTCCCACCATCCTTATCCTTTCTTTTCTCTGTGTTTTTAAGGCTCGATTATCGGCGAAGTACTCTGTCTAGGCTTTATCTCGGCCGCCACCCTCTTTAGTGTTTGCGCAAATTAATGGTTGCTGGTCAGTATAATGTCACAACTGTCCATTAGATTTATTTCCGAGCAACCAGGTGTTTTCTCATAAACAGCCTCTGTTTTCTCATCCAATGACTTCTCAAATCTCGATGTTGTCACTTTGGGGGGAAACTGTTTAACATTCATCTGTGTTGTCATTTTAGACCACTGTGGCCTGCTGTGCATTCTACGTGTATAAGGTATATCCTCTGACTACGGTGGTCTAATATTTGGCTTTCATTTTGGAACTTCATCTATTGTGACTTTCTCCTGCGCCAACAGTTGACTGAATTCGACCGGTGTCCTCAATTTTTCCCCCTGACAATATCTTCTCAGCTTTGTATTTTTTTAACAAGCAATGATCCCTTGCATTTGCTACCTCCACTGTGATCAGCTAGTTCCATTTTCCCCCTCCCCCCTCTCTCTCCCTCTCCCACCCCCGATAACCTGCTGTTAATTTTCACGTTTGGTGCCCTTCATTGTAGGCTTTTGCCTGATTTTATTTCTCTTTTGCTGCTCAGCAAATTTTCTTGCTTTGAAGAAGAAGATGGACTCACCGGAACGGGTTTATTTAGATGCTGACGTTCCAAAGAGCTTGGTCAGCTGTCCATTGTTAGTCACCTCCCCTCGACGGAGTGGTGACTCAGAAAGCGCACAGACGAAACGCCTTTCAACCATTCCCCGAGAGGCCGAGGCAGTTAGAAGAGAGAAAAATCGATCAACCTGAGGCCGACCAACGTGACATGCCATTTGGGATTTCTGGTCAACTAAGTGTATTTTACGCTTTAACAATGGAGAGCCGACCTAGCTCTTCGAAACGTCAGCATCTAAATAAACCCGTCCCGGTGAACCCATCTTCTTCAAATCACCAACCCGGATCTCTCAACTTTGCCAATCTAAACGTTCTTGTTCTGTTACTAACCACTTGGCGTTACCACCTCGACAGTGTCAGGAAATACAACCCACTTTCATCGTCAGGGGCCAAACTGGGTGTCTAGCTTTCTGTGCGGCTTCTTTTCCGACCATCATAATGTAGTTTTCCTGTCCAACTTACTATCCATATGTGACCGCCTACAGGGATGCTCCAGATAAGTGCGTCAAGGCCAAAGGGGCGAGCACATCCCTTCCTGCAATTGAATCGGTAAAGGGTCATCGCCCAACTTAACCTTTCCGATCGGTAACGACGAGAATAGCGCGAGAGTTTATGACTCAGATGGCAGATGCTCTGCTGAACAGAGGCTTGGGGTATGGCTAGTTGGTGAGATCAGAAAAGTCAAAGACCGCCGCCAGTCTAGACACTCCTAGTTTACTGCTTTTTGGAGCACGACCTATTCGATGGCTCTGCGCTCTGCCAAGTCATATCACAGGTTTCACACTTTCTTATTAGTTTAAGCGTGTGGGGCTATAGTTTCATTCAAAGACCGCTGTTTTGATGGTGGCGGTAGTGGTGGTGGTGGTGGAGCATTCGCCAGATATTTGTAGTTAAAATTCATCCGCCAATAGGGCGACTGAGAATCTGCTACGTTATGTGATTAGCAAAAGAGTTTGACTTGACGTACGTTAGTGCTTTTACCCAACACAGTTTTCCGAATTCACGTCTTGACATGTTGGTGCGACAACGGTACCGTGTGTAATGCCGATTCTCGGGACCATTACAGGCTATCTCCGTTGCGTTTCACCCACACACCTGTTTGTTTCACTGGAACTATGAGGAATAGCAATGACTGGCCACAGCTTTGACACAAACTATTGCAGCCAGTGAAGGCTCCGCTATAGAGGTTGGTTCGTGAGGCCGCGTCTTGAAGAAATTCATGAGGACAATTTTGCTGTCTCCGAACTTCAAAATTCGTCATTTTCTCGGTCACTGAATTTTGAGTAAGGGTAATCTCGCCAAAACGGAGGTGTCTCCCTGCTGCGAGAATTTTTATTCCGTTGTCCCAAGAGACTGCCTACTGCATTGGGCGTGGAAACTCCTAAAGTACTGACTGAGGCTCCTACATAGACTTTCAAATAGGAACTCTTCAAAGTGGTTAGTGTATAACATGGTCTGAGTCTTGTTCATAGGCAGTTGCATACCGTTCTCTCGGATGATCTTTCTAGCAGTGATAAAGAGCAGCTACTTCATTGAGGTATTTTTACAGAGGTTTTCAGGGCCACTTGCGTCAATCAGCTTCCCTCTAGGTGACGTTAGAACCCTTGGAGTGGTAATTTCCACCTGAACACCCATTGGTAGGTCGAAAAGAAAAGGGGCGAACTGAGGCACATTATGGTGCAAGACAACGTTCTATCCTTTGCGCCACATCAACTAGCGCCTCTTTCAAGCATTGCACTTGAAGGCGGAAGATAATAGACTAGCTCGAGCTACTGTTGATATGCAACCCATCTTTACGCTTGCTCACATTTAGATGTCGCATTCTACGCAAGTACTTCAAACTACATCCAGATTTTCATTAGGGATGCCCCCAGTGTTCGCCAAATTATCATAAAACCAGAAAACCCTTTGGATATTGGACTACACGGACAGTCATTTAAATACCTCGGACATTCCGCTAGTCTCAAGCTTGCTCAATACCGAGGTTAAGTGTTCGAAGAGGAAGCAGTTTCCCACAAAATGATTCAAAGAAATGTAGTTTTGTGCGTCGTTTCTAGGCAGTTTGATTGAATTCATACAATGAACGAAGGTCGACGGAACAGAAGCAGTTTCAATTTATTAAGGGAGATATAGACGAGCGCCTTCGAACTCCCTATTGGTTACAAGTCGTCGGAGAAAAACATTGATAAGTGGGAAGGTGAAAAAGGGATTTTGTACATAATCGCGGACAGCTGACAGTCGAGAAAGAACGATCGTTAACGGTTGCTTACTAATTATAAGTAGTATAAACACGTATAAGTTGGTGCCGGGTCAAGTGAGCACATTGCTTAGTTGGGGGTTCTTCCAAACTGATGTATAGGGGTGACTGGAGGGATTGCCAGCCAAAAGACAGTGCAACCTTCCGTGCAGTAGTTTGAGATTGTGCCCCACAGTTTGAGTTCTGTTTTCTTAAGGAAAGTGTAGGTGTTGCACCTTCGATATCCCAATTTGCTCCAAGAAAGGGAAATATATGGAAAAGTTGGGAACAGAAACATCAACAGCTGCAAAGAAATTATGGAACCTGTGCAGGTGAACTAATTATTCTGTATGTTTGAATCATTGGCGCTACTACGTACGTCGCACAGTAGGTAGTCAATGGGTGATGGCGCAATAGAAAAAAGTAGTACGATTTCAGTCTTCTGCAGGCGCAAAGCTTAACCCAAAAATAAACTTAAATAGTAATATCACAGTCACGCAAAACCGTTAACACGGAGCGTTAAGACGATATCGGTCGGGTGGCATTATGATGGGCAGTCGAACGAATATCAGTAGCAACGACAACACTCCCGCATGCTCAGCACCCATAAATACTGTTAGGCGCCGTACATAACCTACCTCCGACGATGGAAGCTTGTTTGCTTTTGAAACGTCAGGCTATTAAACCTATGGTTCCCGAGATCGCCTCTTCTTCTCATATAATGTACATAATATAGAGGCAGAATGGTATTACCGACAAAGACAAGGGAGACTGGAATGGCCATTTCTGGCTTATTAGCCGTCGTCAGCCAGCCATACCAAAGCTCGAAGTGTGGAGCAGCCGAGCCTCGAACTCGCGACCTGTTGGTTTAGAAGTCCACGCCTCTACCCACCGGGCCACGAGCCTGTTGCCCTGTAGATATAATATATATAAAAGTCGGGAACGGTAGGGTGAAGGAACCCAATTAGCTGTCGGTATGCTGCGGATCGTATCATACTTGAAAGGTGATAATGGGGTGGGGGGTTGGGTTTACGGGTGGGACAGCACGCGGACAGTAAGTTGACAGAATGCGTGAAAACACAGAAGACGGTCCGTAGCAAACATTATAATTTCTAAAAAAATGACGATTTTATGCAAATACGGTACCCATCTGAGTGTTACATGGCGTTGCATCTTGAAAGTGCACCTGATCATTCGAACAACTGGACCTATCCCGTTTCAGACAGCTCTGTTATCTCTCAATTCCTGCCCAGTTTGTCTCCGTGTTTTGTTTCTCCGTTCTTGGGTACAGCTGCCAGTCATCAGTATTTAACTAGATTTCGGAAGTATATACATCAACGCAGGGTCCGCAGTCCACCAAAAGCTAATTGGATTCCTTCGCACTACCGTTGCCCTAAAGTCATCAGTTATTGTTCTGTGTTCCGACGCAATCCCTGTCTTTTGCGAATGGCCGGGTGCCGCTTCGAAGTCAAACTCTGCACCTAATGCGCAAGATGTCAGTATAGCAAAATACTATTTTACATTAAGGCTTCTGAATGAAGTATTTCGTTCTGGTCGCTACATCCCCAATTAATGTACTGTCTTGCTCTTAGAAAAATCCGAACTTAATTCATCACTAATCGCGGCTATGTTTATCTGAGTTGTACGATATATATCTGGACAGGAGAACGTGAAAGCCGAAAAAAATAGTTGGCGTTAGTGCGTATACGAAGACGGACAAATAAGCTATCCTCGATGACCCCGGATCACACAACCTAGGAGGGAGCGCTAAGTGACCATGCGATCGGCAGCTGCAACAGCAACAATTTCTTTCAGCCTCAGTCATGTGCAGAACACAACCTCATGCTCACCAGAACTTCCTTTTGTTCGCGTCTTAGAGGCGTGACCAAGATGAGAGGCTACTGAAAAAGGCGATTGGCAGTGTAGAATGTTGAGAAAATTATCGGCTCTTTGTCTCGAAGGTGGGGCTGCAAATCCACTCCCGCAGGTGTCTGCAAGACAAACAAGCACCATATTACTTAAGCACTGCAGTATTTGACACGGCTGCATGCCAACCGGAGTTTCCCAATCTGAGGACCAAGAAAGTGGAACAAGCGCAGATGAGGATGCTATTATTAACACCAAATGAGATAAACTGCGAGACACCCCCCTCCAGGCCACTGTGCCAGAAGTCCTCTGCTGTATACGTCAGTAGCACTAGGACCGCCTCGACGAAAACGATGAATACACCCGAGGCAAGTTCTAGCATAAATTAAGATAGACTACATACGATCTCCACTCAAGCAGGGTCAACAACAATACAACCGCATTATTTTGACGCCAAGTGCTACTGCAGCTGTGGTTGATGGATATGAAATATTATCGTATAACCTGTTAGGTTGTAGAAATCCGAGAATATT